AGATGATAGTTACAAGATAGTTGAAACAGATGTTTCATCATTAGGATAGGCAGGTACTATACCAGAAAAAGCATAAGGAGTCACCAAAGTCTGATGAACAAGTTTGTAGATATCCATCAGGAAAATTTAGTGATGTACAGTCAAGATTACCATTAACAGATTTAGAAAGTTTAGGGATAATTAATTCACTTGAAGCATTTTCTTTATTTTTACATAATGAAGTATTTACGATTAGAACAGATTGTCAAAACATAGTTTCTCATTATAACAAGATACATGCTAATAAACAGGCAGCTCGAATATGAGTTAATTTTGTTGATTCAATTACAGGAAATGGTTTTAAACCAATTTTTGAACATATAAAAGGTAATGACAATACATTAGCTGATATCTTATCAAGATTAATTTGTTGAACAGGTATGGAATATCATGGACCATCATCAGCAAATAACACAAGGCCGCAAGGTAGAAGAGCTTCTTTCAATAGCATGATAATGCACCATCAACCACCATCATTCAGTGGATTTCAAAATAGAATAAGCAGACCGGCATCATCATCAGTACCTACTTTCAACTTTAATGGCAATATTGTTGAAGGAATAAAAAATACAACCCTGAGATATAGGTCAAGAGCACCAAGGCTTTCTAATAGGCAACATGTTCTCTTAGATAATTTTTGGAATATCCAAATCAAACAGCCAAGCATGAGGTTAGGTCATGAAAAATTAATTAGAGCATAACAAGAGTTTAATAGTTTTAATTTTAATTTCCATCAAACTCAGCATCATATTCATTATCTTGAGCACAACCTACAAGTCATCTCTAGAGAACACGAGTCTTTACTCAGTAAGTTTACCAAAATGAACCAGGAACTCCAAGCTCTTAGAATGTAGCAGAAGTCAAGTGACACTCTGAAAAGAGAATTGAAAATAGGTTTAAAAATTGATCAGCATAAGAATGAAGGAAAAGAGGTTATTGAACCCATAGAACAAGAGGCTAATGAGCCCATCGAAGAGATTAAGATTGAGCTCTTAGAAGAAGACATTGAAATGGAGCAGCATTAGCATCTGAGTGACAAAGACAAAAAAGAAAAATATGAAAGTTTTCTTAGAAATATACCTTTAGACTTAATATTAGATGATATTTTATTATAAGAAATTTCAAAAACAAAACTAAGAATAATGTCAACAGATATGCAAAATGAGATCATGAGTAGAGCATCACAGTCCATAAAAGAGTTACAATTATAATTACAATGCACCTTGTATCAGTCCATCTTTGATCCAAAACCAGGGATGAATATTATTATAAAGATGTATCCACCATGTCTTTGTGATAGTACAGAGAATTGTATTTGTAAACCAAAGGTTATCATAGTTGTGGCCAAGATTAACATAAGAGATTTTAGACCATAGCATTTTAGTTATGAGCATCAGAAAAAGCATAATGTGATAGAAGTTACCCATGTCTTACTATTAGAGTTTGGTTATCTTGATAAAATATTGATTAACCGTATTTCCCAACTAGAATCAATTCCTGAAAATAACTTATAAAAGTAGTAGAAGATTATATGGAAAGGTGGAAAGAAATTTGCATAAGCTTTATTAGTAGTTATCCAGATTGATATGTACATATGCATAAGGAGAAAGCTAGGCATATAGCCATGATTAATGAAGAGTCATTTAGACTATCCCCTATCTCCTCACATAGGTAGACTCCTTCATAAAAATATATTTTAAAATTCAGAGTGATCCAAATGTTTGCCTTAGATGAGTTTGAAGATTTTAAGTATGATATGATATTAATAGCAGAGGAAGAAAAAATGTATATTTACAGCAAGACAATGATCAGTCATTAGCCTTATTGGAAGCCTTAAAATTTCAAAGAAGAAACAACAGAAATGTACTACAAGGTGAAAGAAGATAGAGAAAGAGATGCAGAGCTAGTAGAAGGCGATAAGCATTACTAGAATAATTTGATAGAAGAAGAGCTGCATAACATCGACAACATGATGGAAGCATGAAGAACTGGCTGTAAATTAGCATAGGTTTAATAGCATAATATAAAATAATGTTTTTCCAAACAGAAATGTCAACATCATTGTGGACCCCGCTGTAATAGCATAAGAGTAAATAAAGAAAAGAGCCTAATCCATTATGGACTTTCTATACACAAAATGTCATTTTGATTAATAATGAATAGTACCAGGCCCTTTTCATTAAAACTCCCAATAAAATATCACAAATAGTCTAACAAGACTAACATAGTAATATAAAGAGTTGACTAACTTTTTCAACACGAATAACCTGTTGTGCCAAAACTTTCATTGTCTCCTCAAGCTTTCAGGTGATGCTTGTTTATGCTATTTCCTATTGGATAATACTTGCATCTTCCACGTGTGGGTGCACATATCTGCAAACAATGCATCTTAACTGAATAAAATCAATGATAAAAAATCGTTTAATTTCTTAATCTTCATTCGAAGAACACACCTACAAAAAAAATCATTTCAATTGGAGATCATTTAGTCATTTAAATGTATAGAACAAATAGACGTGTTGGTATAAAATAACATATTCATGATAAACTGTCCATTTATTTGATACGTTTGGATGATAAAACGATCTCCAATATAATTCAAATGATTTTTTTTGTAGGAAGATCTTCAAATAAAGGTTAATAAATTGAATGGTGGCGATCATTGATCTATTTGGTCAATATACGTTATTCCCAAATGCGGATATGTGCATCCCCACACAGTATATAAATATAGTATTTGACATTCTTTACGGAGAAAGGTGTGTTAGAACATCTCCAAGAGAAATCCTAAATATTTGTTAAACTAGCAAGTGAACAGTGTAAAAAACTCAACTTTACATCTCCAAGGGCACCATTTATTAACAAACTTTGAATATTCTATTATTAACATTTCAAACGTACAAACACTTGCGATTTATAGATCAACTGTTCAATTTCTCCAATATTAGGAATAATATATCTCAAATACCTATCATTTGTCAAAAAATATCTAAGGCCTAGTATTTTGTTTGAGCCATAGTCTTCCAAGAATTTGTTCAGAGTCTTCCTAGTACCGAAAATAGATTGTTTTTTCGTTTTCCTAACTAAATGATATTGTATGATATGATCTAACTGATTATATATATATATATATATATATATTATTATTTTATTTTTTTAGGGTGTGTTTGATTGAGGAACTTGAATGTATAGAACAAATAGACGTGTAGATACAAAATAGCATATTCATGATAAATCGTTCATTTATTTGATACATTTGGATGATAAAACGATCTCCAATATAATTCAAATGATTTTTTTTTTTGTAGGAAGATCTTCAAATAAAGATTGATAAATTGAACGGTTGCGATCGTTGATCTATTTGGTCAAGATACGTTATTCGCAAATGCAGATATGTGCATCCCCACATGGTATATAAATATAGTATTTGACATTGTTTCACAGAGGAAGGTGTTAGAACATCTCTAACAGAAATCCTAAATATTTGTTAAACTAGCAAGTGAATAGTGTAAAAAACTCAACTTTACATCTCCAAGGGCACCCTTTATTTTAACAAACTTTGAATATTCTATTATTAACAATTCAAACCTACAAACACTTGTGATTTATAGATCAACCGTTCAATTTCTCCAATATTATGAATAATATATCTCAAACACCTATCATTTGTCAAAAAATATCTAAGGCCTAGTATTTTGTTTGAGCCATAGTCTTCCAAGAATTTGTTCAAAGTCTTCCTAGTACCGAAAATAGATTGTTTTTTCATTTTCCTAACTAAATGATATTGTATGATATGACCTAACTGATTATATATATATATATATATATATATATATATATATTTTTTTTTTTTTAGGGTGTGTTTGATTGAGGAACTTGAATGTATAGAAAAAATAGACGTGTAGATACAAAATAGCATATTCATGATAAATCGTTCATTTATTTGATACATTTGGATGATAAAACGATCTCCAATATAATTCAAATGATTTTTTTTTTGTAGGAAGATCTTCAAATAAAGATTGATAAATTGAACGGTTGCGATCGTTGATCTATTTGGTCAAGATACGTTATTCGCAAATGCAGATATGTGCATCCCCACATGGTATATAAATATAGTATTTGACATTGTTTCACAGAGGAAGGTGTTAGAACATCTCTAACAGAAATCCTAAATATTTGTTAAACTAGCAAGTGAATAGTGTAAAAAACTCAACTTTACATCTCCAAGGGCACCCTTTATTTTAACAAACTTTGAATATTCTATTATTAACAATTCAAACCTACAAACACTTGTGATTTATAGATCAACCGTTCAATTTCTCCAATATTAGGAATAATATATCTCAAACACCTATCATTTGTCAAAAAATATCTAAGGCCTAGTATTTTGTTTGAGCCATAGTCTTCCAAGAATTTGTTCAAAGTCTTCCTAGTACCGAAAATAGATTGTTTTTTCGTTTTCCTAACTAGATGATATCGTATGATATGACCTAACTGATTTTTTATATATATTTTTTAGGGTGTGTTTGATTGAGGAACTTGAATGTGTGCTCAATGGTTGAAAATTATTAGCAAACCAAACTCACTATTAGGTCAGTTGCAATTTCCCTCTCCCTCTCACTCAAAAAAAGTCTTTCTTTCTCATGTTAAACAAAAAAAGACTTCTACACGAAGCTACTTGATTTAATTTGTTGTAAGAAAAAAAAATATTTGGACGATGTGATTTACGCAGGAGAAAGGTTCTGAATCCATTCATCGTTGTCAGTACACAAATGGGTGGTCAAAGTCTTCCGGTAGTTCTTAAATAAAACAAAATTATCACTCGTAAGATTTATTTTATTCCATTTCTAAATTCATAAATCCCTTTAGAGATTGTGATGGTTTAACCAAGACGCGTCTCTTAATTAAATTCTTAATCATGTTCTGGTCATGGCTTTCATGCCTTTCTTCCTCGTCGTCTGGAGAAATTAAACTTCATCTTGTGGTCATTAATCATGGAAATAATCAACTTAATTTTGTTGATCATTTTCGAATGCTTAGTATGGACTTGTCACAGAGCAGCAAGTGCAAGGGACACACTGAAACCAGGAGACACTCTCAACTCCTCAAGTTCTTTGATTTCTGCGTCGGGGAATTTCAGTTTCAGTTTCTATGTATACAACGACGGTTCCAAAAACACCAGCTACATATCCATCCAGCGCAACAAGGCCAACGGCAACATTGCTTGGATTGGCAACCCTGAAGCACCTATTTGTACCCTCCATCAGCATTTCTTACCTTGGACAGGAATAATACCTTGAAAATTATGCGTCAAGGCGGAGATTCTAATCCAATTGTGATTTTCTCTGCTCGACAAACTACTAGGTCTACCAACATAAGTAACAGTAATGATACTGTTGTGGCTATCCTTTTGGATTCGGGAAATTTTGTACTACAAGAAGTGAACTCCGTGGATGGATCCCCAGAGCAGGTTTTGTGGCAAAGCTTTGATTATCCAGTAGACACCTTATTATCGGGCATGAAATTGGGTGTCAACCGTACGAATGGCCATGTTTGGTCGATTTCATCATGGGAAACCGAAGAAAACCCTGTTCCGGGGCCTTTCACGCTTGATTGGGACCCTACTGACCACCAATTGAAGATCAAGAAAGGTGAGGTGGTTTATTGGACTAGTGGTGCATTCACAAGTAGTACTAATACATTTGAGTATATTTTGCCTGAGGAGTCCAAGCTGTGGTTTAATTTTAGCATTGTTTCAAATGAGAACGAAGACTACTTGACTTACACTGCTCTAGATCTTGATCAAGATTCAGAATGGGTGCTGAACAACCTGGGGAGACTTGGCAACCTAAACTTTGAAATTGCACAAGCTGGGAATTGTGACGGCTACAACACTGGTGGAGGGTGCATGAGAAGGGACCGGCCACCGAATTGTATGGCAAAATTTGGTGATGAATTTGAGGTCAAAAATGGTTTCTTTATACCAAGCAATATCAGCTCAAGATCCCCCTACTGGTTTACCAGTAGTAGCAGTGATTGTAAGGCTACTTGTTGGCAAAACTGTGACTGTGTTGGATTCGACTTTCCACTTGATGATAATACAAACACTAGTACAGGATGCCGATTTTGGAGTGCAGACTCTAAGTTCGTTGAAGATTTCGCTGGATCGGGTACTGCAAACAGTAGTTTTGCTTTGCCAAGATTAATCACGCCATCAAAATCACCACTGCGTAAAGATAATACTGGTAAGTTCAAATTTAAATCCTCACCACCTCACTTATATTTAAGTCTACAGGATATCACATTTCAAGGGAGAAGCAAATAAAAATCAAATGTATTTACCATAAATTGCATTAAATTGCTAAACTCTTGTTTGATTAACACATTAATAAGCTGGCTAATTATTAGTCTCTTGATGCAGCAAATAAGTGGATATGGATTGGCACTTCAATTGCCATTGCTCTAGTTCTTTGCATTGTGTTCTATCTACTACGAAGAAGAAGATTAGCACTTTCTGCTGGTATATAAATTCTTTAAAACATTATGTGCAGCTGGTGTACATATATTTAGATCTTTGACACTGTTAATTAATTTAAATAGGCGAAAATATCACAAAGATTCAGAACGAACTGCTCAACTTCATGAGACCTAATAGAGTTACGCATCTTGCTCATGGGATTCAAAATGATGGGAAAATGGAACATCATGATTTAAGCGCATTTAGCTACACATCTGTCTTGGCTGCGACATGCAACTTCTCCGAAGAAAACAAGCTCGGGCAAGGGGGATATGGACCTGTTTATAAGGTCAGGTCTTAACTAACAAAAAGTGTGTTTTCTCTATATCTTCTATATACCATTAAATTGCCAAAAAAATGTTATAATTTTTCTTTTCTCTAGGAAACGACTGAAAAATAATTTTGTGAATTACCGATTCAGGGTAAATTGGTGACCGGACAAGAAATAGCGGTGAAGAGGCTATCAAAATGTTCAGGGCAAGGAACATCGGAGTTTAAGAATGAATTGATCCTCATATATGAACTCCAACATACAAACCTTGTTCGGCTTTTTGGGTTTTGCATTCATGAAGAGGAGAGGATGTTGATATATGAGTACATGCCTAACAAAAGTTTGGACTACTTTTTATTTGGTTGGGAATTTACTACTCCTATATAATTAGTACTTGATTTCACTTGTTAAATTTTCTCTTATTTTTCGCTCTTTGTCCAAATATATTATAACAATATTCTGAAACGCTCTATATTTGACAGACTCAACAAGAGGTTTGTTACTAGATTGGAAGAAGCGTTATGGTATAATCGAAGGAATCACTCAAGGATTGCTTTACCTGCATAAATACTCGAGAACAAAAGTAATTCATCGAGATTTAAAAGCTAGTAACATACTACTTGATGAAAATATGAATCCCAAAATTTCTGATTTCGGTATGGCAAGGATTTTCACCGAAAATGAATTGGAAGGAAATACTAGTAGAGTCGTTGGGACGCGGTAAGTACATATATAAATGCATGTATACATTCTTCTCATGCATTTTTGCAGATGTGCTAACTAAACAGCTTTTGTTTTTTTCATTTGATCTAGTGGTTACATGCCTCCTGAATCCATTGAGGGAATTGTTTCCGTAAAATCTGATGTCTACGGTTTCGGGGTGCTAATGCTTGAAATCATAAGTGGTAGGAAGAACAGCAGCTTCTACAACGATGATCACGCGATCAATTTAGTAGGACATGTCTGTATTTCAATCAAATCTATATGTACGTAGTTATGATCATTTTTTTTTCTTTCCTGAAACCGTAACCATTACATTAAAATGTTGTTTTAGGCATGGGAGTCATGGAAAGATGGTGCAGCGCTGGAGTTAATTGATCCGATACTTATAGGCGATTCATGCATAGCGGATCAAGTATTGAGATGCATCCATGTCGGCCTACTATGTGTCGAGGAAGATGCAGCGGATCGGCCGACCATGTCGGATGTTATATCTATGCTGACAAATGAAAGCTCACCATTAGCGTTCCCTACAAAGCCAGCATTTTTTGTTGGAAGGAAAATGGCGGGGGCTGGTACAAGTGGGAATCAGCAACTTGAAATTGCATCAGTAAATGACATGTCCAATTCCGATTTTGGTGCACGTTAGAGGGTGTTATTCATGCTTGGCGTGAGACTTCCGTCTCTTCAAGCTATTAGTGATGATATAAAAGTATCAAAGTTTGATGTTCAGGTGTGTTTGCTTGTATGCTGTCACCTATAATAAAAGGTCTAGTAGCAAGTTGTGGATTGTTTAGCGGTGAGAGCCTTTTTCTACAACATTCTGAGTTCAAACCATTTCCCTGTTATTTGCGTAGATTAGTGTAGACTATCGCTTCATTATAACATAAAAGAGTACATATATATTTATACATATGTGTGTGTGTGTGTGTATATGCCTTGTGTGGATCGAGGTTTTGTACTCTAGGTGTTTGCTTATCTCTCTAAAATATTTTCTCTTTCTATGCATCTCTCATAAAGTATTTCGTCTATTTTTTTCTTAAGCTTGTACTTTGTAGTTAATTTTCCTACATTTTAATTAATTTTGACCGATTTTCCCGTACAATCATGTTGTTCTATAATTCTTCTAACTTTTCATAAAAGTCTCACATTTTAAACACCGAGGATTTTGGAGGATTTTATTACGTATTTTAGGCCATAATAAAACAATTCGAGGTAAACAATAAGTAATACTGTTGTTGAGCGAAATTTTTGCCCATTATCACAAGATAGAAAAGAGTGTTGTTATCGACGTTCTGGAAAGTCATCGTAAACTTCTTCGTCTATATTTTTTCACTTATGTTTTTTATAAGAAAAAAAGGATTGTGATGACATTTTTGGATTGGAAATATTATTTTCCAATTAAAAAATGCGATTTTATACTGGTGTTGGAGCTAGAAACATGTTGGGCCGTTGTAGATATTTAATTTGGCCCATAACCCAACCTATAACAAGAAAGCCCAAAGCAGAACCCAACTCCGTAAACAAAACAAAAACCCAAAACGCAGCGCCGTAACATCATCAGGGGCTGGTGGGTGTCCTCTCAGAAAAGAAAGAAGCAGCTCCCACACAGATAAACAAACACACAAAACACAGAAAGAAGGGAAAATAGCGAGAGAGAGAGAGATACCGGAAGGAAGAGGAGAGAGCAATCGGAGAAGGAGAGCACACTGGCGTTGATCGTACGGTCCAGATCCACTGGTTTTCTGGATCCGACGACCCGAAGCCATGGCTTCCAAAGGTCCAAGGTCCAAGCTTGATCATGAACCCAGACCTAAGCGCCAAAAGGTTAGCTTTCCGATATTATACTTCTGCATTTTTCCGATATTGTAATTTGTATTGAGCTTGGAATGAATAAATAGTAGTTTTTTTATATTTTGTTTTTATGATTTTTTTATTTTTTTGTAGTTTTGTAATCCTACTGTGGCTTAGCGTTGTTGAAGTTTGAAACTTGTGATTGTTTTGGTCAGAAATATTTTTTGTTTTTTATTTTCCTTTTTTTCTCGTTTTTTGTAGCAGTGTCTGGCTTGAAATTGTGGTTTTGAGTAATTTTAATTCATAAATTATTCACTTTTCTGGTAACTTATGGAGATTTTGACACGAAACTTGTATTTCGTGAGAATTTTGCTGGCGTTGGGCATATCTTAGGAGAATTCTTTTTTGGAGATGTGTTAGTTGAGTGTATGCTTGGGTCGAGGCTAAAAGTATGGCCGGAGGAAGTTTGAGCTTTTGTTTTGTTTGTTTCGTTTTGAGTAAACAACGTTCAGAACGCTATCTCAGGAACCAATGAGCTGAACGTATGCAAAAACGCTGCTGAAGTTCAAGAGTTTTTCGATATGTGCATTTCGTTCTTATGCAATCATGTCTTAGTGATATATAAAAGTATGTGCACCTAGAGGGGAAGTGGCCCGAACCCCCACTATTTTATGAACTCTCATTTTGTCTTGCAATTTTGAGATTATGGAAGTCCATGGAGTGAAAAGTTACAGTGGATGAATAAATTGAAGTAGAAAGCACTTTCTTTAATGGATTTGGCCTTGAAAAGTTATGACATAACCCTTGTTTAAAATAAAATAATTTTTTTTATGACTCATAAGAAGTGTAGAGATGAGAAGAAATAATTTTTGTTAGCGTTAGTTCTGCGAAAGGTACCTTTCCCTAGTGTAGAATGTGCTAAACCAATTTGAGAATTTTGGGTTCTCGTGAGGATTTACTGCTTATTAGATGCAGCAAGCTTCTATTTAGACTCTGGAGAGTCATGCTAGGAGATGAAGATTAAACATTAGGAAGACTGGCCAGCTGCTACTCTATTAGCTGAAGCATGCATCTATTTAGTCATTTTCTACCTTGAAATGTTTCCTTCACTAAGAATTATGGAACAATATTGCAAGCAGGCAATGTTCTATGTGTCTTGAAAAATGGCTTATGGCTCGTCAGTAGCATTTAAGGGTGCATATTCTCCCTAACAAAATGCATTGGCTTCCACTGTGTGGGGTGGATTCTTAAAAGTCTCGGCATATGGTGCATCTTGAAATAAGTCAAATTTCAGTTTTGTCACATGGTTTAGAGCATGTAATGGTTTCTATTTTCTATAGAAATTTTATTGAGAATTTTGAGACCGATAATTTGGATCAATAACGTCAAGAAATGGGTTGTTGGATGTTTTGACATTGAGAGGAAACCTTCCAGTTATCATTGTGCATTACAATGCTTATGATTGTTGTTCTGGAAAATTTTCAGATTAATATTGCAGCAAAGTGAAAGAATTTTCCAGGGGATAAGTAGTGCTAGGACAAAGTCTTCATTTTTGAGTTATGGTTCCGCTCCTCAATGGGAATATATTGAAGTATTATTACTAATACAAAGTGTGATAATTGGGATTGTTATTAGGACTTGAGATTAAAGAATGCTTCTTGTGTTGAATTATTGCAACAAGGGATCTTGAATATAAGGTTGTGAATTTTGTGTTCAAGTTTCAATAAAAATATTAGAGCTGACAAAATTTTGTTAAAATCCAAGTATTTTGTTGTAAATGCATAACAGGCACCTACATGTAATGGTCTTCTGTCTTCATGTTCCTTGGTGATGATAAACATTCCACATATTGAAAGCAGTCAGTAATTTGAATGTATTGCTGCAATCCTACTGTTAATCCATGACTCGTTTATACTAACTTGACTGTGATAGGCCCTTGAAACTGCAAGTGAACCTCGTCGGCCAAAAGCTCACTGGGATCATGTTTTAGAAGAGATGATATGGCTTTCAAAGGTAATTTACAGTTATGCGCCTTTAAATTTTGGTATGATTGTGCCTTATTATCTTTAGAACAAGAATTATGTTGGAAAGTGTGAAATCTTCTGAATTATGTTGAGAATATGAGATAAATGCTTTTGGTATTCCTTGCTTATGAAACTTGTTATTAGCAGGATTTCGAGTCAGAGAGAAAATGGAAATTAGCTCAGGCGAAGAAAGTTGCTTTAAGAGCCAGCAAGGGCATGCTAGATCAGGCTACAAGGGGAGAAAGGAAATTGAAGGTTCTGTTTTTTCCTAACTGAAGCGCAATGCATTATGCATACACTAAAGTTTATCTCAGTTCTCATGTTACACAAAATTGGTTCATATAATTGCTCACACGTTTATTTTCCTTGCAACATTATGAATTTTAATTTAGGAGGAAGAGCAACGGCTAAAGAAGATTGCAGTCAATATATCGAAGGATGTAAAGAAATTCTGGCTGAAAATAGAAAAGCTGGTAAGCTTATCTTTGCTAAGTCACCAACTTTAACAAAAAATTTATTTCACTAATTTATTGTCCTTATAGATAGGGCCTTGACTGTATATGCCTAATACTGTATTCTAGGTGCTTTACAAGCATCAGATGGAACTTGATGAGAAAAAGAAAAAGGCACTTGATAAGCAGCTTGAGTTCCTTCTAGGTCAAACTGAGAGGTGAATTTTTCTTTCGTGGTTAATTGATATGATCTTAGTTGTTGTTGTTTTCTGTGTGCTGCATTTGATTTCTTGCTATTGTCCTGGTGAACTGAATGACACTTCTGCATGGAATTTCCAGGTACTCAACAATGTTGGCAGAAAATCTTGGGGACAGCTACAAGCCTGTTCAGCAATATCCTACACAAGGTCAACCAAGTATCCAATTCAAAGAGATGGACAAAAATGATACTAACAAATCAACCGAATTGAATGCCGGTAAGTTGAAGGTTGTTATTTCATTGACGTTCTTCTCTTACCTACTTTTATCTTGAACTAAAACACTCTCACACGTTTTAAACAGAACCTGACACTGAAAGAGCCGACATTGACGTTGATGATGATGATTATGACGTACAGTCTGAAGATAGAACTGTGAGTCTTTCCTTTCCTTTTCTATTCTGTAAATATATGATATTTCTTTTTAACTCAATTTGGTGGGTATGCATTTACATGATAGTAAGGCCAATTATGCAAGGAACTATGTGCATATGCAGTGGATTACAATAATTCTTTCCATGATACTTGATGATGTTAAGGAAAAGTACGGCAGTCAACATTCTCCAATACTTTAGTATTTTCATCTAAGTCTATGCCGCCCTAGGATTTGGGATGTCAGGCAAAGGTGAAAGAAGCGTAGTTGGTAATGTAGTTGACCATGAGTATAAGGTAATGCATAGATAATGTCTGTAGTTGAACTGACCAATTTGTCTGCTAACAGTACAACTGTTTGCTGTCCGGGGAAGTTCTGTAATATCAAATGAAGCCTGGATAATCACATGTAAAAAAACTTCCATGGAATTTTGGAATAGAGTTCTGACTCCAATACTTAGTTTTCTGTATTTGCAACTTTTATATGAAGCCTCATGTTCTGTTATTGTGAGTTTTATACTCTAAACATGCTATTTGGAGTATGTGTCTATCTGTAAAGTGTTATATTGCCTGTATGTCGACTGGAAAAATTTGTTCATTATCATGTTTGCAAAAACTGCTTTGCATTTGGAGAGTTAGACTGATACCCCTTGTGGATTTGAAGGATGTTTTGATACTGCTCTTTATGTATAATTTCTATTCTTAACAGATGTTTTCCTGCATGATGATGCTGTTTTAGGAGGATGATGATGAGAACACTATTGAGGAAGATGAGGCTCTTTTTACTGAACAAGAAAGGAAGGAAGAGTTGGCTGCTTTACAGAATGAAGTAGATCTTCCACTTGGGGAGCTACTCAAACAATATCCTATGGAGAAAGGTGAATGGTTATAACTTTTTGCTCAACTATACTTTATTTAATTATGAGAGGTAGTTTGTATATTCTAAATATGGGTCTGGAACTTTTCGCATAATTTTCTACAAGATGATAGCTAGGTTTCAAAAATTCACAGTTGGAAGATGCGGGTTATGCTTGTCTTCTTACCCGCTTTAGGCATTTATCTAAGTGTAATTATTTCCACATTGTTCAGATTCCTCTCCAATTAGCCAAATATTTTGGTCCTGGAAGAGCTATGAGCCAGTTGGGATGGCTTTTCCAGTAGTTATTCTTCTCTAGCACTATGAATTTTATTCGTGTCGTGTATCTATTCCCCTGTCTCTTGTATGCTAAATGAGCACCTTTGAATTAATGGCATTTTTATAAATCTTATCTGACAGATGGACTTTCAGTTAGCCCAGAAAGTAGTACAGAAAAGGGTGAAGATGCTACAGAAATGACATCAGGAGACGATGGAGCAGAAATGACCTCAATAGAGGAAGAGCATGGTATGTCTCCTGGTAAGAATGAGGATGGTGCAGAACTGATCTTGTTGGGGAAAAAGGATGATATGTCTCCAGGGAAGGATGAAGATGGCAAAGAAATGACTTCGGTGGAGGAAGAGCGTGTTAAACAGGATGAAGATGGCACAAAAATGACCTCAGTTGGAGAAGAGAAGGGTATGTGTTCAGAAAAGGTTGAAGATGCCGCAGAAATAACCTCAGTGGGGGAGGAACCTGGTAGGTGTAGCAGTTAATGTATTTTGTTATCAAGTGAAACTTATGATCATGTCTGAAGAGGTGAGTGTTCAATTATACTGCAGGTGAAAAAAGTGATATTTTTGTGTCCGATATAACCGAGAAAATCAACTCAGATGTTGTCACTGGTCGTCGTTGTGTAAGTTGTATGTGTTTGTGGTTGCAATGCTGAATTGTGCAGTTTATGAATGGTTGGCATGATAGCTGTTTGCTATTTACAGGTGCAAAGTAATGGCGGTTTGTCCATTTCAGAAAGCCATTTATCAGAGATTGAGATAAATGAAGATAAAAATCATTCAGAAGCGCCTGTACAGCTTGCCAAAGGACAGATGCGATATGATTTTAATGATGAACATGTGAGAGTGCTATTTTTAGGTTATAATTTTGTTCTTCTTCCTTTTACAATGATAGCATATGTTCAGCAATATTGCTTTTGCATCATGATGTTTATCTATTGGACCTTGATGTCTGGTGAACTCATTTAGCTCTGGTTTGTCCTAGCATTGTAGTTTTTAAAACCAATTATTTTATTTCAGACTTGTTAGATTAAATTGTGGATATATGTGTTAATATAAAGCTATTTGTGTGTGTTATGTATGTATGTATCTATATATACATATATCTTGAATTTATATGTTCCAACTTTCAGATTCTCCAAATTCAGATTTAGTTCCCTTCCTTTCATTTAAAATTATGGATCTTTATATTTTTTTTCTTTCTGCAAAAAAAATAAATAAAAAATTAGAGGGTTATTGCTCACTCTTCTTTCTAAATTATGTAGGAAGATGGTGACTTCATTCTTGCTGCTGGAGAAGAACAGGTGGGAATTACTTTATGTTCTCACTAATTTAAAGTCCTGGTCGATTGAAGTAGCTATTGTTTGTTACTTGCCCACTCAACCATCTTAGAGGCCTTTTTATACTGTTTTTATAAACTTGAGTTTTTGGCAACCTCTAGGTATATTCTGGTTGATTATTATTATAGCGTAATTGTGCTAATCTGTGTTAGTTCAGTAGTTGGAAATAGGTTTCGAAGTGGTTGAATTTTATTGCCAATAGCCTTTGTTTTATTGATCTGAGTTTGATGCCCAGGATGATGAGACAACCTTATCAGAGGAGGAGGAACTGGAAAAAGCAGATACCAATGACCGTATGGATGAGGTGAGGAGCTAGTCTATGTACCTTTCATGTCTACCCTTATACTTTAGGCATATTGGTAGAAACACTAAATGGTTTGGTCCAAGTTGTTGATTGTTTGAATGGTTTTTTGCCCAGATTGCCTTACTGCAGAAGGAGAGTGAAGTTCCTTTACAGGAACTGCTTGCAAGGTATAAAAAGGTATGCTTTATTGTATCCTTCTGCTCATAGGTTGAGTGATTCACATCATATATGATTTTTGTTCTATTATCAACCTGTTTTCAGGATTTAAACAGTGATGAAGTTGCAGATGGTGAATCTGAATATGGCTCTGCTCTATCAGAGGATTTTGTGGATTCTTCATCTCTTGAAGACCTTGAACCAAAGCAAGATGATTATATGGATGAAGATATTGACTCTGGTGAACACCAGCCAGCTCTTGATTCTCCTACTGAAGAACACAGTGCAAGTATAACTAAGATTTCAGAAGGGGGAAAAGACAGTGAAAACAGACTTGAGGATGCGGCTGCTGCTGCTAGATCTGCACAGCCAACTGGAAACACCTTCTCCACAACCAATGTCCGCACAAAGTTCCCCTTTCTTCTTAAGTTCCCTCTACGTGAGTATCAGCATATTGGCTTGGATTGGCTTGTAACGATGTATGAGAAAAGACTGAATGGGATTCTAGCCGACGAGATGGGGCTTGGGAAGACAATCATGACAATTGCTTTGCTTGCACACCTAGCATGTGAAAAGGGAATATGGGGTCCTCATCTTATTGTGGTCCCAACTAGTGTAATGCTTAATTGGGAGACTGAGTTTCTTAAATGGTGTCCAGCTTTCAAAATCCTAACTTATTTTGGAAGTGCTAAAGAGCGCAAGTTGAAAAGGCAAGGCTGGTTGAAACCCAACTCATTTCATATATGCATAACGACATACAGACTGGTTATTCAAGATTCAAAAGTTTTCAAGCGGAAGAAGTGGAAGTACTTGATTTTAGATGAAGCCCATCTGATTAAAAATTGGAAGTCTCAGAGGTGGCAGACTCTTTTGAACTTCAATTCCAAACGGCGCATTTTGTTAACTGGTACTCCTCTGCAAAATGATCTCATGGAACTTTGGTCTCTAATGCATTTCTTGATGCCCCATGTATTTCAGTCTCATCAGGAATTCAAGGATTGGTTCTCTAATCCAATATCAGGGATGGTTGAGGGGCAAGAAAGAGTAAATAAAGAAGTTCTTGATCGTCTGCATAATGTTCTTCGTCCATTCATTCTCCGTCGTTTAAAACGAGATGTGGAGAAGCAGCTCCCTATGAAACATGAGCATGTCATATACTGTAGACTCTCCAAGAGGCAGCGTAACTTGTATGAAGACTTCATTGCTAGCTCCGAAACACAAGCAACTCTTGCAAGTGCCAATTTTTTTGGAATGATAAGTATTATAATGCAACTTCGTAAAGTATGCAATCATCCTGACTTATTTGAAGGTCGTCCAATTGTCAGTTCCTATGATATGGGGGGTATTTACACACAATTGAGTTCTTCAGTATGTTCAATTCTTTTACCTGGACCCTTTTCTGCGGTAGACCTTAAGGGTTTGGGGTTTTTATTTACTCATTTAGATTTTACAATGAATTCTTGGGAGAGTGATGAAGTTAAAGCTCTTGCTACGCCATCAAATTCAATCAAGGAGCGTGTTGAACTGATTAATCTTGAAGATATTGGTGGACTTAAACATCGCAAGAAGTTGCATGGTACCAATATTTTTGAAGAGATTCATAAAGCAATTATGGAGGAGAGACTAAGACAAGCAAAGGAACATGCTGCAGCTGTTGCATGGTGGAATTCCTTGAGGTGCGACAGGAAACCCATATACTCAACAAGCCTAAGGGAGCTTGTTACAGTAAGACATCCTGTTTTTGATATTCATTGTCACAAGGCTAATCCTATATCCTACATGCACTCCTCAAAGCTTGCTGATATAGTCCTTTCACCAGTGGAGCGCTTCCAGAAAACGATTGACCTGGTTGAAAGCTTCTTGTTTGCAATCCCTGCTGCGCGAGCGCCACCACCTGTATGTTGGTGCAATAAGTCTGTAAGTTCTGTGTTTCTGCATCCAGCTTATAAGCAGAAATGCTCTGAATACTTGTCTCCACTTTTATCACCGTTCAGACCTGCTATTGTTCGAAGGCAAGTATATTTTCCTGACAGGCGACTTATACAATTTGACTGTGGTAAATTGCAAGAGCTTGCAGTTTTACTTAGAAAACTAAAGTCAGAAGGTCACAGAGCACTAATATTCACTCAGATGACCAAGATGCTTGATACCTTGGAGGCTTTCATCAATCTGTATGGTTACACATATATGCGTTTAGATGGATCCACTCCGCCCGAGGAGAGGCAGACTTTAATGCAGCGGTTTAACACGAATCCAAAAATTTTTCTTTTCATATTGTCAACCCGTAGTGGGGGTGTGGGTATTAACCTAGTTGGGGCAGACACTGTTATCTTTTATGATAGTGACTGGAATCCTGCTATGGACCAACAAGCTCAAGATCGATGCCACCGTATTGGACAGACACGTGAAGTAAATATTTATCGGTTGATCAGTCAGAGTACCATTGAAGAAAATATCCTGAAGAAGGCAAATCAGAAGCGTGCACTTGATGATCTAGTTATACAGAGTGGGGGCTACAACACTGAATTCTTCAAAAAGCTTGACCCAATGGAGCTTTTCTCTGGTCTTAGGGCACTTCCCGTGAAGAATATGCAAAAGGAGAAAAATCACAACACAACTGAGGTTTCTCTGTCTAATGCTGATCTTGAAGCTGCTCTAAAGCATGCAGAAGATGAAGCCGATTACATGGCATTAAAGAAAGTTGAGCAGGAAGAAGCTGTGGACAACCAAGAATTTACAGAAGAAGCCATTGTGAGATTGGAAGATGATGAATTAGTAAATGAGGACGATGTGAAGATTGATGAACCTGCAGATCGGGGTGGATGCGTGGCATCTTCAAGCAAAGAAAATGGGGTTGATCCTAATGAAGGAAGAGCTCATACTGTTGCTTGTAGAGAAGATGATGTGGACATGATGGCTGATGTCAAACAGATGGCTGCGGCTGCTGCAGCTGCAGGACAAGAAATCTCATCATTTGGCGATCAATTACGTCCAATAGATAGGTATGCAATTCGTTTTCTAGAATTGTGGGACCCAATTATAGACAAGAAAGCAGTGGAATCTCAGGCTAGGTTTGAGGAGACAGAATGGGAACTGGACCGCATTGAAAAATACAAGGAAGAAATGGAAGCTGAGATTGATGAAGATGAGGAACCTCTTGTATATGAAAGTACGTACCTTTGTATTCTTTGCATTGTTTGTTAAGTTACCTTGAGGCATATCGTAACCTTAAATATATCCAACTCTATGGGCTTGTCATGTGGTGTTACTTCATGATAAAATCGTGTGACCTTCACTCCACATCTTACCTCAATTTGCAAAATTAAGTTTGCGTTAGACATCAAACTGAGTTGGAACATGAAAGAGTTTTTATTTTCTTTAAGCTATAATGATTTCCCCCTGGCTCTTACAATAAAATTGCTTCCACCTGACATCATCTTTTGCCCACATGGCTCTTGTTTTTCAATTTGTCCCTTAACCGTATCACATATTGTCATGGTATGGTATCTGGTATCTGCAAATCAATTCTGCAATTATTTGGGACATGCTAGTCATTGACGTAGTTTGAGAAATTCAAACTATTAATATGTTATATTGCCATGTATGCGTGTTGCAACTTTAGACTAAACTCGTGTATTTTGTACTTAGCATGGGATGCTGATTTTGCAACTGAGGCATATCGGCAGCAGGTTGAGGCTTTAGCTCAAATTCAGGTCAGTGGGATACTTATTGTGCTGCATATTTTAGTGTCTATGTAATAATTTATGTGCAAACTTTTTTCAGTTGGAGGAACTGGAATACGAAGCTAAACTGAAGGAAGATGAAGCAGAGGAAAATTGTGATTCTATGAAGTAAGCTGACAGACTCAACATTTTTCCTGATAGTAGTTGGTTCAAATTAATTCTCTTTTCCCATCAACTCATTCAGATATAGTAAAAAGAATCGTATCAGGTGCAATAGGTTGAGAAAAACTGAATTGATGTTTTTCTCTCCCGCCCCCATCCCCCTTTCTCAGAAAAAAAGTCCTGTAGCTGGCACCCAATATGTATATGTTACAAGATCCCCTCCTGCACACAAGCATCTGTACTGGTGTCTAGAATAGCATTTAAGATATACAAGTTTTATGAATATCCAAACCTGTCAACTGGAGAAAATATTAAATTTGGGAATCTCTGAATGTAGCTATTGAAACCTTTTTCTTGTTAAGTTGAAGCTTCTCTAATTAATTAGTTGTATGATATTCCAGGAATGAGATGCCAATTGATCCTAAACCAAAGACTAAGAAGAAATCGAAGAAAGCCAAATTTAAATCTCTGAAGAAGCAGTCTCTAGCTTCTGAACTGAAACCTTTGAAAGGAGAGCTACAAGCCGAACCTATATCCATAGATGAAGACTCTCTCTCTCATGAGATGGTTACCTATTCCGATACAGAATCACCACGTTCAAGTGTGCAGAGAAAACGTAAGAAGGCTGAAGTCATACCAGTTGGCGAAGAGAAGAGTTCAAAGAAGAAGTCTAAGAAGCTCAAGAAGTCTACTCTTGAAATATGTCCTACGGAGTTTGATACTAACCTCTCTACTATGGATCATGATGAAGTTACAGAGTCAAAACCATGTGAGAGTATGGTTGAGTTTGATCATAAGCCAGCTAGCAGAAGCAAAATGGGAGGGAAAATTTCTATCACTTCCATGCCTGTAAAGCGAATTCTACTGATTAAACCAGAGAAGCTAAAGAAGGGGAATATTTGGTCTAGAGACTGTATTCCATCACCAGATTTTTGGTTGTCACAGGAGGATGCTATGTTATGTGCTGTTGTACATGAGTATGGTCCTCATTGGAGCTTGGTTAGTGACGTGCTTTATGGAATGACCACTGGTGGGTTTTATAGGGGAAGATATCGCCATCCCATCCATTGCTGTGAGAGATTTAGGGAACTCATCCAAAGATATGTTTTGTCTATACCGGACAATCCTAACTATGAAAAAGTTAACAATATAGGATCTGGAAAGGCTCTTCTAAAAGTGACAGAGGTACAAATTGTTTTTATTTTACTTTTTTATATATGCTGAACTGCATATGTTTTGTCGACCTCATAATCACTTATATCACTGGACTTAGTGAACTATTGTGAATTAAAATTGGTACGGTTAGCATTTACCAAAGCATTGCGCAAGGAAAAACCAGTAATCATCTAATTATCTTTCTTATGTGCCAGGATAATATTCGAATGTTATTAAATGTTGCCGCCGACCAGCCCAATACAGAGTTCCTCATTCAGAAACACTTCACTGCCTTGCTTTCAGCTGTCTGGAAGGTGACATCCCACAAAGACCGCCGAAAAAATCTCCCATCTTCCCAGAATGGTTTATATTTTGGGGGAAGCATTTTCAGCCCTTCCAACCAAAAGTCTCAGACTCCCATGATGGAACGTACAGAAAGAATGAAATTGACCAATTTCGGACACAGTACCAAGTTGGTAGCGGCTGCACTGAATGATGCCAGCAACAGACAGGGTACCAAGTTGGTACCAGCTGCACTTAATGATGCCAGCAGCAGGTGTGACAATGACACAGTGTTTCGTCCAAACCTGGGGAAAGATTCTTCAATTGAATCAGAACGGTTGGATATAACTCTGGAATTTCAGGGAGCAAAAGATGACACAATGGATGAATTGCCATCTGTTTTAAATTTATCAATATCTGATTCTGACCGTTTTCCATTGCTAAATAAAGCTACTGAAGATCATCATCTAAGGAAATCAAGCAATGTAAATTTGGCTGAGAACCGTTTCAGGTAAGGTCTCTTGCAACATGATTCCAAAACGATTGCTAAATGCAAAATAAATGTGTATCTGATGTCACAATTACTTAAAAGTGTGGGGAGTTGTGGGTTTTGGGAGGTTGCTAATAAGAGTCATGTCTCCTTTCAGGACCGCAACAAGAACTTGCAATGAAGATGCCATGGGATGGGCTTCATCGGTATTCCCAACAAATGATCTCAGGTCTCGGTCAATGTCAAAGTTACCGACCACGGGAAAGCACAAACTTGTCTTCTCTGATTCCGTTAGACCTTCCAAATCGAAGATCAGAAAAAGTTCAGTGGAGCATGGTGAGATGCGTAACTTCGTTTCTGAGCAGGTACTCCCCCCTTTCCCAATGGCTGCACCACTGAATCCAAATCCGAGGTTTGACCTGAACACCCCCATCGATGAGGATGCTGGAATTTATGAATTGGAAAGCAATTCCTTTTCTTGCCTTGACGAGTCTTTGCTGGAAATGGAAACCTTCGGAGTTCTCCCACATGAATACGTTCCTGGCTTGATTGGAGGCCTCGATGATGAACAATTGCCAGAATATACCGACATTGGGTAAGCTCTGAGAGCTGGAGCCATAAGTTTTGGTATTGAAAGACGTTGATGGATACCGGCCATTGGATTTGGGATTATAGATTTTTTGCTCCCTCCCATCAGACGCGGTGGACTATAAAGCAAATGACATTTGGGGAGCTAGGACTTTTACCCTTTTGAGATGCAGAGGGAGTGTTTTGGCACGTCTTGCTGTCATATGCAGAAATCGATCATTCTGCTCGAAGAATGGAAGCTAGGATCAGAGGAAACAAATTGTGACACAATTTTTGTAGTTGGAACTTTTCACTGGCAGATGTTTGAATTTGTTTAGGGCTTCTATTGAGACGTCTTTATGGGCATATTTACTCCATTGGAAGTAGCAAATGAAATTACTCTCTCTCTCTCTCTCCCTCTCTCTCTCTTGTGGTCAGAGTAGGCAATCAGTTAAGTCGTACACTTCCTTTGTTCAAAGAGTTGGATTAGACGTAACAAAAATAATCAAATCATATGTTTTACTCCTAGAGTGTAGGCATGATACTTGGGGAGGTAGATGATAAAGAATTTGAGTGTGTAATGACTTTTCTTTTGGCTAAATTATATTTCTGACCATATTTAGCTCGATTTCTTCTTTCTAATCAATCAAAAGGTGTAGTCGATGGGAAGTGCGAAAATAAGACGTCAACCACGGAGTTGTTGCAGTTGTAGCTTCCAGGCGGTAAAGGAACCCAGAAATTGTTGTTTCAGTAATTTTCTTTTTATGACGTAGAAGAGGTCTCAAGTTCGAATCATTGTCTGTTATCAAGACAAGAACTTAGGACCTCACCACATTGTTTGTCCCTAATCTTTTCAATACTACGTCGCATTGCAACTGGAAATTTGGATTCCAAGAAATCAAACTGAAATCTAAATAAGAGAAATTATAGAAAATGATGATATTAAATAACTGAAACTATAGAAGAAGAAAAAAAACCTAAATCAACAATGTTTATCAAACGTCCAAAAAGATTGTGGGACAAATGTTCAACATCTTCCCTCAGTCAAGAAAATGTTGAGCAGGATATATTACATAAAAAAGATTAAAATTTCATTGCCGGTCCTCTAGTAACTTGTTGCCTTTGTGAAACAACACAAGGTAAGCAAGTCTTCGGTGGCACCTTGTTGAATCGGGGTAAGGTACATAGTTACCGAAAAGCAAAAAATTCTCTCCAGAACAAAACTTGGCATTGGAGTGAAATCAATCTCTTGATTTTTTGAACTTCTTCGACTTTCCTCCGGACTTTCCTCCTCCTTTGTGACCTAAGTACTTGTCAATATCCTCCTCCTCACCATTGTTTCCCCCCTTCCTCTTCTTGCCACCGCTCTCTTTAATTTTCTGGAGATGTCAAATGTAGAACACATTGAGCACTATATCTTTTCAATGGGATACATACCCCGTAAATAAAACAAAATCGTTGAGATTGACATGTAAACAAAAATAAAAAACAACTTGGGAAGAACATTACCATCTGGGCTAGTCTTTTCGCCTGCCCGACACGTTCTAACAGAAGCAGGACTTCCTCTTCTTGAGCAGAAAATTCGGGTAACTTTTTGCCTGAACAGTAACAAATTGTAAGCGTAAAAAACACTCGTTTCAATATCCCACTAGACAGGCATGGTAAACTATAGCTTACCGATAAGCTTCTCTATCTGTATATACCACTCCAACTCATACTGGTTCACTAGAGAGATTGCAACCCCAGATCGTCCAGCACGAGCAGTCCTTCCAACTCTATGGATATAATCCTGTGACTCATAATAGTTAGCAAACAATGGCATTAAAAAATAAAATAAATAAAATTAAAAAAATTAAAAAAAAAAAAAAACAACAGCACAGTTCTTCAATAATGTATCACCTAAAGAGAACTAACTGTATTAACTTTCTTCTTCCTCTTTTTATCTATTTATTCCCTTGAATTGGTGTGCCTACAGGTTACAGAACATTACAAGTATTATATAGAAAGAGACGAGGGGCGCAGGGGAAGGCAAGGGAAGCCATTTTGTATCACGGACTAGTTATGAAGTTTTCACGTATTAATTGTCGTCCACTACCACTAATTAACTTTATGACAAACTTTTCGGAGTCGTACTGGCAAAAACTGTGCAATGCAACCATAACAATATTAGGTTTAGATGGAACAAAAACGCAACAAATATATTAAGACCCGAATAGCAAATAGCAAGCCTGACCTTAGAATTTGTGGGAATGTCATAATTAATAACCATATCCACTGATGGAATATCCAATCCTCTACTAGCCACATCAGTGCAGATAAGTACATTACATTCACCAGCTTTGAACATATTTAAGGCTCCAAGCCTTTTTGACTGCCAGAAATAATACATGAACAAGGTTATAGAAAATCTTGAACCATAAGCCAAACACTGTGCTTCAAATGAAATTAGTGAATTCAAGAGTACTTAATTTGATGTTATATACCTGGCTCATGTGACCACTAATTGGGATGGCCCTTATGCCAAGATTTCGAAGCATCAAAGCCAAAACTTGTGTTGCATCGCATGTGCGGGTGAATACCATAGTTGTACACTGAGACTTCTCTGTCAGAATATATACAAGATAGCAATCCTGTAATCACAAAAAGGTGAACTTATAAGCAAGAGAGACAGTAACAAAAAAAAAAGGCATAAAATGCCAGGAACTTCGTGAAAGAAAGAATGCATGTCATGATTATGTCTTCAAACTGTGTCCGGATCTTGCACCAAATATTTGATGTTCCTCACTTATGGTGCATACCATGTATGATGGTATCTAATAAATTCACCAACGAATCCAACAATTCATCCAATATTATAATATTGTCATTGATGCATTTCCGCACCCCAGACACACATGCTTAAAATCACACTCCAGGATGTCACCAGATACATTAACCAATTCGGAAGCTACTATCGCCCAAGGTAAACCCACTGGTCTTTGACATTTCTATATTTATCTGTAACCCTATATACTAATACAGATCAATGTTTTAAGAGAAAGGCATAAGATCAGGCATTTTACTTCTTTTCATTTAAAAAGAAACTAATTTGAAGTTGCACAAATTGAAAACACAAGTTACTGGATCTGTCTTCACAAATAACCAGGAAATAAAAGCTCAAAGCAATTAAAAAAATGCTTTCCCAAACTGCTGAATGACAACTATAATAGAAGGATCTTCTTTCCTAATCAAACTGTTGACCAAAATATCTCCATGATAATTCACATATGTACTTTTATTGGAAACTATTAGCAGCAGTCTGCCCCACAATATAATTTGTATATGATTCATGAGCAACATGACATGTCCTGATTATCTAACTGAGTAGACGAATAACACTGGATTAAAAACCATGAGGAGAAAAATAGCAAGACAGGGAAAACCTTGTACTTGGCAGGCAGAAAACGATACTGCTGCTTTAGTGTGTCAACTGTCGAATACTTAGACGCTACTTCAATCTGAGATAAGTCAAGAAATGCAATTGTTTTAATACTGGGAAAAAAAATTGTGCAGAACGAACATGGTCCAGCAAACACTTTCATCAAACCTTCACAGGGTTCCTTAGGCAAGCCCTTTGCAGCTTCCGAACCTAACGTTACAAGCACAATTCTGTTAGCTGATGAATAACTTTTGGAATATATAAGGTTCAGAAGGCAAGCCTCCGTCATATTCGACTCATCTGTTTCCTACGTGTTGCACTCCAATGCGGCAATGCCAACACCAAGACACCAGAACAATCTAATCGGTGCCTTTCAAGGACAAAACTAGATACATTGTCAACTACTAACTAAGGCCAGCTTAACCCAAAAACCTAAGGGCTCATCTGGCAAGTGCTTTTAAATGACTGAAAGTGCTTCCTGCTAAAAGCATCAGTTATGTGCTTCTTGCGGAAAGCACTTTAAGTGCTTTTGCAGAATTAACATGCATTTTTACTAAGGTTTGGTTCCAAAACATTTTATCTAAAAGCGGTTTCAATCGTTTAAAAGCACTTGCCAAACGAGCCCTAATATTACACGCATTAGGAATCTACTTCCATAATCTGTACTCTATATAAATTAGAAGAAGCACAGATCGTCTCTGCTAAGAAGCAGGAAGTACAAGAACATTTGAAGTATAAAATGCAACCTCATATAACAGTAACAGCAGCGTAAAAGAATTTCTCTTCATATGCAGGCTTCTTAACATTCCTGTTTTTTTCCAAAAAAGTAGTGAAATTACATATATTCCTTTTATTTTCTGGTAGCACAAGTCCAATTAAAAAATTGATTTATGGTACCGGATGTGCAGAGAAGCCATGATACAAAACTAAAACAATTGCAGCAATACAAATACTTCTATAGATGCTTTGAAATAGTTAGACATGTACCTTTTTAGTCATAGTAGCAGAGAATAAGTATGTCCTCCGATCACGAGGGATTTCATTCAGAATTTCATCAATTGACTTTTCAAAGTCCTCATTAAGCAACCTGTCAGCCTCATCTAAAACCTGCTCCATTGGATATAAGAGACTCTTAGCATTTCTAACCAGGTCTCAGTCATGGGGCAGTCGAGGTTATATCACACACAATTACAAAATGTTCTAGATAATCATATAAGATAATGTTGCTAGTCTAATGGATGGGAAAGAAGATGCAAGAAATATTGTCAAAAAATGTATGATCGCCAGCATTGTTCTATGTTGGACAAATTTAACTAACTACAAATTAATGATAGACCAAAACAATATATATTTCATGTTTCTTATTAAATCTAAATTATTTATTTCAATGAGATTTTCATTACGTAATCCCATGTTCCTCTTGGCTGACCTCTTGATCTTTTTATTTTTCCTTTTATAAATCTTGGCTCTGCCAACAACTACATCTAGTGGTCCACATTTTATATGCCCAAATCACTCTAACCCATTTCTAAGTTGATATTCAAAGAAACAACTGAATAGATGACATAACAAAAATAATCAGTTCCTACCAAAAATTTCAACGTGCGAAGAGAAAATCCTTTCGTGTTGGACAGATGATCCATGAGGCGTCCAGGTGTTGCAACCTGCAAGAGAATACCTGTTCTTTTAGAAAAGTTGACATGAAACCCAAAGGCATTTCTACAAAATTGTTATAAGCTATCAGTTAAGTAAAATAACAACTTACAACGACATGTGGCCGCTTTGCAAGATTGATAGATTGTTGCACCATGTCCACTCCTCCAACAAGCTAAAACAATTAGGTAAAGCGCTAAGTAGCATTCAAAATGTTTAGAATAGTTAAATCAATAAAAAGCTTCAATTAACAACTTCAGATTGTTAGCTTCCAGCGCATTAGAAAAGATAACGTCTCTTTACTTTACAGGTTTACATAAAGCATCAACACATCGAGACTATAAATTGTTCAAAAACAGTCGTCGTAAATATGAAACAAAACTGTAATAAACAACAAAAGAAGCTACTGGTATATTTTCATTAGTTTTCACCTTTTAAAAACTACATAACAATTTACATTTTCATCAAATTACCACGACACTACATACACAAAAGAACAAAGCTCATACAATGTATAACATGCACTATGCCAAGCTAGTAAACTAAAAACATCAA